GATTGCGCAAGAGCCTGAAATGCCTCTCTTGAACACGTAGTGGTATCTTCCAATACATGAAGGCGTTCGAGAAATGGCTTCAAGTAATCTTCTTTGTTCTCAGGCGGGGTGTTGCCTTCACGTGGGAGTCTGGAGAGACTGTCTGCGTCGACATTTGATTTTCCATTGCGGTAGGTGATGGTTATGTCAAATGGGGCCAGTGCTGCTAGCCAGCGGTGATCTGTTGGGCTTAACCTCGCTGATGACACTAGGAAGGTCAAAGGGTTACTGTCCGTGAAAACATGACACTTTGCTCCATAAAGATAATCACGAAATTTTTCAGACACAGCCCATTTTAAGGCAAGGAATTCTCTTCGATAAGCTGAGTAGTTTCTTTCTGCTTTCGTCAAGGCTCTACTGCCATACGCCACCACGTGTATCTTACCACCTTGCTTCTGATAAAGAGCTGCTCCTAGGCCTCTTCCGCTTGCGTCGACATGCAAAATGAACGGCACCTCAAAGTTCGGGTAGCAAAGGATCGGTGAAGATGTTAGTCTTGAAATTAGTGTCTCAAAAGCCATCTGGCACTCACTTGTCCAGGCAAACTCCGAATCAGGTTTCTTCTTCTTGTCAGGCCCGCTCACAAGCAATCGGCGTAAAGGATCGGCAATTTTGGAGAAATTTGCCACAAATGATCTGTAGTAGCTTGCGAATCCGAGAAAGGTTTGCAGTTCCTTAACATCCTTTGGTGGCTTTGCTAGCCATTCCTGGAGTGGCGCAACTTTGTCCGGGTCTGGTTCAATTCCATCTTTGGACACAACGTGACCAAGACATCGTACTCGTTCCTGAAAGAGCTTACATTTTGATGGTTTAAGTTTCAACCCGCAATCCTTGAGCCGAGTCAAAACCTCTTCGAGACGCACCAACATTTCATCAAAGTCCTTAGCGAAAACAATAACATCATCCATGTAAACAACGCACGTTTTATAGTTGAGATCTTTCAGACACTGTTCCATTAAGCGTTGAAACGTGGCGGGGGCATTCGTGAGGCCGAATGGCATCCTTGTGAATTCATAAAGTCCATAAGGTGTAGTCATCGCTGTCTTCGGCTGATCCTTTTCCGAAATCATAACTTGCAGGTATCCACTTTGAAGGTCAAGAGTGCAAAACAACTGAGCACCACTCAAAGCTTGCAGCGTATCAAAAACACGAGGAATCGCGTACGAGTCCTTCACCGTCTTACTGTTCAGCTTTCGGAAATCTACACACACCCTTAGTGTATTGTCTTTTTTTCGGACAAGTACTACGGGAGAAGCAAATGGGCTTTTAGATTCCTTGATTACACCTACATTAAGCATATCCTGCAGGGCCTGTTTAAACTCATCAAGTTGTCCGGGTGGTACACGCCTTGTAGTCTCCTTAAATGGGGTATCATCTGAAAGGTTGATCTCATGTTCTATAATGCCTGTGACCCCTAAGTCTTGAGTATTCAGAGCAAAAACATTCTGCATACGATTTAGCATGCTTTCTGCTTGTTCCTTTTGATCATTGTTCAAAGGGGTGTTACTCAAATCAAACAACTCATGAATATTATTCCTATCGCCGTCTTCAGTAACATCTCCCCCGGGTACAACTGTTGGCTCGTGAATGGTAGAGACCAATGAAACAGAGGCTAATTTGGATCTTCCTTTAATGATGACAGGTTCATCAGAAGTATTGGTAATCTCCACCGGAACTTTACATTTCTTACCGCGTCCCTTAAGTGAAATTAAACTTGTTGTAACAGCGAGAGCGGGATGGTGAGTGTTATTTTCTATGGTTTCAATAACAGCCAAGCTGTCCTTCGCCGGATAAGATTGTGTCAGTCCCCATATTACGGTGCGCTCGTGAGCCCCAACAGTAATATCACGACGAGAAGTGAGCTTAACTTCAACTTTTCCCTCTTTTTGCCTACTGCTAAAACGATCACATGCTTGAAGTGATGCGTAAGCCCTTTTCCAAGCCGATGAAGTGTGCACCAGTTGATTAAACTGTGTACCATATTTTCCGATGCACTGTACATGAAACGCTTTTGCAATATTTGTTCCGATCACTACAGGGACACGCTTGTTATAGTCATTGTCTGGTACCACTAGAACTAAATAGTTCTCTCTGAAATTAACACCAGTTTCTTCCTCTGGAAAGGATACTTGCACCTCAATATATCCTATATATGGGACCTGCTCCCCTCCTGCTCCAACAAGTTTAATAAGGTTCTCAACAGAGTGTATATGATAATCTCTGAGATGTCTATTATAGAATGACTGAGATACTGATGAGACTTGGCTTCCAGTGTCCAGAAGGGCCAAACAAGAAATGTCGTTAACAAAAGCAATACACTCATTAGCATCGCCAATTAATGATTTGAGGACTGTTACTCGGTGGGACTCACAACTCACTGCCTTTGGCTGCCCCTCGACAAAGGCACCCTCTCGTTTCCCCATACTGGTGCGTTTCTACAGCCCTTTTKCAAGTGCCCAACCTGGCCACAACGAAAACAGGTAGGGTTACGGTCTTGGRTTGACTGTGGAGTGGGGCCTGGGAASTGCTGTGAKGTAGGCGGATAACCTGAGAATCCAAATGCGCCCTGGGTTTCAACCGGTGTTAAATTCTGTGTTGGCTGGAAAGAATTCCTGTAATACTGCGCGGGATTTTGACTATGGGMACCCTGTGGTAAGGGTCCTGGGATAGGCTGTGGCATTGAAGTATATTGCAGGGAAGAATAAGTGCCTTGCGTAGGCTGGAAGGAATTCGGGAAGGACTGCGAAGACAACCCGGCTTGGGTACCCTGTGGTAGAACACTAGTGCCAAACTGGAAGGGTTGATTATACTGCTGGGGTAAGTGGGGCTGAGTACCCTGAGATTCCTGGCATGGGGTGAGCTGTGATGGGAACCAAGGGTGGGGGTCATGGGTTTCCTTTGGTTTGGACTTGGTACCCCCCTCAGGTTTGAGTATGTTCCTCACCTCCCTAGTAACTGCAGATATTATCTCCGGGAGCCATTCTGGGGCCTCAGTTTGGGTTTTAGTAGCCTGTGTCTGGTTACAATGGGCATTTTTATGCATGGGAAGGGCAGCTTTGTACTCCTTTTCCCCATACCGAGCTGCTTCAATTAACTCACTGAAAGATTTTGAGTTATCTTTTTTATGTCTGGCTTTATCCTTTATGCCTTCCAAAAGACCCTCCCAAAAGATTAGCCTTAAGTGCCGGTCCAGTGAACTTTCGTCCTGTAAGAGCTCAGCCCCTTGTCCCTTTGCTTTGCGCAGTTGGGTGTCCAGGCGGGAAGCAAAAGCAGATACTTCCTCCCTATCCCCTTGTTTAAGTTTGTAGGCCTGTGATAGCAATTCATCTCCAACTACAGAGCCACCATCCCCATAAAACTGATCTAGGTTTTTGAGAATCGATTCAAGACTAGCGTTGGGCCCAAAGCCAACTATTTTGTTTTTTGCCTCCCCCTGAAGAGATTTTCTCACTTGCTCAGAAATTATTTCCATAGAATAAATCCCTTGATTTCGAGAACTTTCAACTTCATATCTCCATACTCGATACGACACTCCTTTATCCGCCTGAACAAAGCCAAAAAACTGAGAGAATTGAGGTTTAGAAAAGTATTGCATGGTACTAGCTGTAGTAGCAGCTTTCGGCTCATCACTTATTATTTT